GGGGAAGGGAAAAAAGGGAAAGGAAAAAATATGAGAAGAGGAAAAAAATGGAAACAATGTCTTTGCAAATAGGGAAGGGTGGAGGGGGTGAAGGGAGGGCAAGGGAAGGGGAAAAAAAATAAGAACCAAGGTACTGATGTAATGGTACAAGATCCCAATGATGAATGTAACTGTATTTTATAGTTAAAATGTACCAATGAAGTTAATGGGGAAAAAAATAAAAAATAAAAATAAAAGCTTATCATCATACATTCAAAAAATATAATAATAAAAAAAAGCAAATTTGAAGAAGCCAATTTGAGATTTCCTGAATCAGATCTCATGAGTTCCCTAGAAACTTCACTTTTACCAAAAACCCAGATGCTGTTTTTGCACATTAAAGTTTAAGAGACCAACCTACTCATTGTCTTCTATTCTGAATTCTCACTGCTGGAAACTGCCTCAAGTCGTTCACGTGTCTCTTTATAGATACAAGAAGGAAGGAAGGAAGGAAGGGTGAATTTGCAGAGTAATTCACATGCCTCAACCTGGTAGATCTGTACCATTAAGTATACTGTTTTAGTTTTACTTTATGTATCCAACAAATGATCATAAAAATTTTGTATATCAGAGTATGTAGTTCTTCCAGGTCTCATTAAAGCACATTTATATGTATTCATCAGAGTTATTCTCAGTTTGACTGTAGCATCTGTTATGGGTTGTATCTAGATGTCCTCCCAAAGCCTCATGTGGTCATAGCTGGGGCTTTTTGGAGGTGGCTGGATCTTGAGTGTGTGCAACTGGGATCAAAGCTGTGATGCTGGAATTTATTCATGGAGCAATGATAGGATTAAGGTTGCCCCACCCTGGGTGTGAGTGCTACCCATCCTATGAGAGGGTAGCCTGGGTAAGATATAAAGGACAGAAAGAGAGTTGCTGCTTGTTGCTTATTGCTTGCTGCTGCTGCTTGTCTTCTGTTGCTTCCTGTCTGCTCTGTGATGCCCCTATGCCATGCTGCCCTAGCTCTGAGCTAGCCATTTATGGACTGAAACCTCTATCTACAAACAGTGAGCAAAAATAAACTTTTCCTTCTCTAACTTTGAGTGTTGGGTTTTTTTGTCTCAGCAACGAGAAAATAACTAAAACAGTATCCCTTATGCTTTTTCACCTGTTTCTTGGTGCCAACTAATAGTCCATATGAGGAAATGATTGCCACAGTGTTGAGAATAAAATACATTTATATCTTTTTTGATGGAGGGGGGCTGTACTGTAGTCTGCATCATTCTGATAGCCTTGTGCATTTATTGGCAATATATTTTCTACTGATGTCCTGAGTTATTTTTTTTAATGCTGTTTTCTCTTAACATTTCCTAGTCACCCCACTGACCTGAAGTTGCTTTCAATTAATTCTAATGCCACTGTTGTTTGTAGTTGTCACCTTGTTCTCTATATGGCAGTTACTTCCATCTCCTTCTATTATTTATCCTTGATATGTGGCCTAGCCATTGAGGTGTCCCTGACTGTGAACTAGAAGAGTTAGAATACTACAGTGGACACTTTTGGCAATCTGATGAAGTCTCATTTTAGAAAAGCATTTTAAAAAGCATACATATGGTTAGAAAGAAAACCAATTATGTTTATTTATTAAAATATTTTTAAGAATGTTACAATACAGAAATATATGTGCTTCTTTACTAATACATTAAGTAACAAGAAGCAGCTGCATGTTTGACGGTGATTATAAATTTGAAGAGCTGCTGATCATAAATAACATTTTGTGATAACTGTAAAAACTACTGCAATCACAAGTACTGATAATAATTCTGTGGTTTATATTTTACATTCATGATTGAAGGAAGCATTATAAATTTCAGTTGGAGATTATAGAAAATAAAGAAATATTTTCCCATTTAGGTTCATGCTCACCCCATGAATTTTACCAGGGAACACAGTCCCTGAGATGTAGAATTAATTGCCAACATCACATTGTTCTTGACCAAATGGATTCACTCTTGGATCCTCTTAACTCATTTCTCTTTTTGCTACACTCCACTATATCTGTTTACTGAATCATAAGATTGAATGGGCTCTATTGATGATTCTCTCTCATGATTATCCCATAGTTTAATCTTCTCTGTGTTACATTTGATGCCAGCTATTCTGTACAATTCACTTTCTCTGAGGTACTTTAATTTTGTTTGAGTATTAATGCTGTGTGGGTACCATATTCAGTGTTTTTTCTCCTACGATGGAAGCTTCTCTAATATTTTTTATTGTTATCAATAAATATTTTTTATTGTTATACATCATGTTCTTACTTAGAGAGAAATAAGCAGAACCATTGCAAAAATCACAGCAAAAATGATGAGCATTCTTCTTTCAGGCAGTGTGGACCTGAGTGAACTGGACTGAGCCTTAACTTTGATCAAAATATGAAACCTGGAAAGGAACCAGAAGGGATTAGCCATGTTAATAATGATGTATAAGAATGCAATTGTCTTGTGTTGTCTGAGTGACTGAGGAAAAGTAGAGCATGCTTTGAATTATGGATCTCAGTCTCAGAGTCTCTACTTAGTTAATTTTTTTTCTTTTGGAAGCAGATGAAATTATGAGTGACTATTCTATATCATCAAGCTTTATGTGCTTAGGTTTCTCCCAGTTACTTCACTGCTATTGGAATATTTTTCAGCATGGAATAAAAAATGGTACTGTATTTTAGATATTGTGTTGTTATTTAAATTTTCTTACTTATAATGTTATCAACTAGACTATAAATGTTTTGAGGTTAGAGCTATACAATTTTTTGTTTCTTTTCATCTTTTGTCACTTTTATACTGGATATTTTTCTAGAAGTATGAATACACAGGTTAATAGAAAGAGCATCAACTTTCTACCCAGACAGACCAGAATGGAAATTCCACCTCTACTTATTTTCACCAAGTTTTAGCCTAACTAGCTATGCTGCAGTTTCCTTACCACGTAATACCTATTTAGCAAAATTCTTTAGTGGTGACATTGTGCAGAATGTAGTCAAGAAAGTACCTGGCACATAGCAAGTGGTTAAAAAGACACCTATTGTTATTACTACAACTATGATTCAATAAATATTTGCTTTATTTGATGCTTTTACTAGCTAATGTCCAGGGAGCTTCTCTTGTATTATAGCAGTGTTAGAAAACTGGAGATAAGTAAGGTGAAAGCTCATGGAATACAGCACCATTGAGCTCACCCACACATTTTAGCAATTGTTTATTGCAGACATGTCATGTCTATTTGTCTTCTTCCTTCTCAAAGAATTGATCCCATCCAACATGAGCCATGTTTTCACTTCAGTTTTTTACAGTCCTATTTACTAAGTCAGTGAAACTGTTTATACTGCTTTCAAAGAGCCAAGAAGAGAAACTATTTGGACAGAGAAAGAATTATGTTGGGGTTTTAGGGAGCTAATACATAACACTCAACTTTTCCTCTATCTTGAGTTTAGAAAATACTGACAGAGGACCCAGAAGACAGATGATGGAGACCAAAATTTTAAAATATATGTCATATGTTTTAAAATTCTAATCATGTTGGAGAAGCTGACTTTAGTTTTGTGGTCCAGTACTTTCTCTAAACTTATGATCATGATTCCCTAAACAAAACAAAACACAAAACTGGAAGCTATCTACTAGCACATGCAGACAGAGTCTGCACTGATAAGCTAGTCTCGTGATGGATAAAATGGCATCTTCTCTCTAGGCTCAGACATCTGAAAAGAGAAAGTTGCTCTGTTAAACATGCTCAGATTTTCCTCTGGCTCTGTCTCTCCTTCTCTCAGTGGGAGGATTAAATGAGAGAGGCAGGAAAGGACTATGGATTCCTCCAGCTGAGAGGCCCTCAAAATATGTTCTTCAGGCCAGGAGCATCAGCTTCACCTGAGAAGTTGTCTGAGGGCTCATGTGCCCTCAGACCTTCTGACTCATGTGCCTTCTGACTCATGTGCCAGCCCAGTGATTTGTGTTTTTGCAAGCCTTCCAGGCCACACTGATGCAAGCTTAAATTGAATACTAGTGTTTTGATTTACTGGTCCTTAAACTAAGTTGTGTATTAGCGTTTTTTGAGAAAGTTTTAAAAATTATTCATGTTTTGGGCCCACAGGCAGAACAACTTTGTAAATTAGGATTCCTTCAGGTAGGGCTTTGGGGATTCGTATGTTTTAAAATCTCTGCAAATGAAGCTGATGTGCAGACAGGACCCAGGCCCAGATCTCTGGCTCAAGCCATGTGCCATGGTTTGGAAGTATTCCTAAGGTGTGTGTGTTTTAACTTGGTCCTCAGCTGATAACTCTGTTTGGAAGTGGTGGAACCTTTAAGAGGTGGGGCCTAGTTAGAGGAAGTTAGGTCACTGGGGCCATGTCTTGGAAGAGGACATTCAGGCCTGGGCCTCTTCCTTTCTTGGTTTTCCATCCACCATGAGGTGAGCAGCTCCTCTGCCATAGGCTCCTGATATGATGTTCTGCTTCATCATAGACCCAAAAGCAATGGAGTCAATTGACCATGGACTGAAACCTCTGAAGCAGTGAACCAAAATAAACTTTCTCTCTTGTTAAGTGTATTTTTTCACAGCAACAGAAAGCTGTTTAAAGTAGGGGTCCTGGGAAATAGCACAGAGAACTAACTGTGGCTGTGATTTCCAACTCTCACTCTGGGTACTTGGGTTTCTTCTTTCCTTCCACCTTAGTACCTTGCACTGTGATTGTTATGAAGTTGCCAGAGATGCTGTCTTGGCCTCCTCATGGAATTTGACTAAGAGCCTTGTGGGGTGGTGAGTCCCTCAAGCAAAGACACTCAAATACCACTACTGACGCCTCTAAACTTAACACTTAAGAGTAGATTGCATTGTTTCAAGACCTCACAAAATCTAAAGTAGGCAGATACTACCTAATATATTTTAAAGTGATGTTTCTTACATCTTTGAAAGGAATTCAACTTGAGACTTTCTTTGTTGACACTAGATTATGCTTCAGAGGACCAGTAAAAAAGCAGAAGAGTAGCAGAAACCTCTAACTTTGTAGAATGGATGAATATATGGAAAAGAAAAGTTTTCATTGGAGATAGTTTTTGTTGGAAATACACAAAAGAGGCCTCCTGAGGGTAATGCGGCAGACTTTAGAGTGGTTTCTGTCTTATGCATTGTTGTATGCATGTTAAATTCATAAGTACTTTCTCCCCTACAAAAAAGTGTTAGGAATCTATTTAATACATTACTCCACATAGAATGATTAGGAAGTGAGATTATGTGAGCCTGTAACTCTCAACATTCTTCTGGAGACCCACAAGACAAATGGCACTTGTCTCTGTGGGGCAGTGTCTAGCATACCACAGTCCAATAGAAATATGTAAGCTACAAATATGAGCCTTTATGTAATTCAGGATTTTCCGATAGACACATTTTTAAAAAGTAAAAAGCACATGTGCAATTAATTTCAGCAATGTATTTTATGATATAAATATATCAAATATTTTTGCTTCAACATGTAATCATTATAAAAGTTTATACTGAAACTAGTATATTTTATTTTTATTTTTGATACCAAAATTTCAAAACACAGTGTGCGTTTTACTATTACGACATATTTCAGTCTAGACCAGCCACATTTCAGAGCACTTGCTAAGCCTCTGTGGCTTAGTGATTACTAGCATGTTGGACAGAGAGTTCTGTACTATTGTTTTTTCTGTAATGCTAGAGCTTGTATGAAGGGCTTTGTATATGTCAGGCAAATTCTCTACTACTGAACTATACCCTCAGCCCTGGACCAGGAGTTTTAGTTCAGCTCCAAATTTGCTTCTGACCTTTCTTTTAACTTGCCGCTCTAGCAATTGAAAACAATTCAAACTTGATTTTGAACAGTAGCTTGTTTTCCCTTGATAGTCTTTATTTGGAACTAAAAGAATACCATCAGTATTTGCTTTAATTGGCATTAAGGGAATCAGTTTTGAAAAATCCTATTTCTCTTTTGTGCTTTTCATTTATTTGAAAAAATCACTTTGTCTATCACAGTAAGTCAGGCCGTGTCTTTTCAAAAATAAACCTTATAGCCTCCAGCTAGACAAAGTTGAGATTGCTTGAAAATGCTAACTAGAATGTTTCTAGTTAGCATGGTATTTGAATTCATCTAAATATTGATGAGCAGTAGTCCAGGAAATCTACAGACAAGGGCTGGAATGACATCCAATTGTGCAAATAAAATAGGTTGTGAGTGGATGATTTTTACCAGGGTTTCTAGGACTTAGCCTAGAGTTCTTTATCTTTGTTCCACAGGATTTCAAATACTGAACAAGTGACCATTCACTGTCAGAAAGATAGCATGGCATTAATTGGAAAAAGGAATTACCAAAGGAAAGAATACAGATATCAATATGTTGTTTGGTATATTAGAGCAATAATGGCTCAATAATTATTTGTTGATTGATTAATGTAATATTGGCTCAAGAAGAAATAAACAAATACATGGGTATCATGAAGAACTAATGTTGAAGTCAGGGACACCCTGCTGGTATGCTTTGTTTAAATTTTTATATTCCTTTTGAAAATTGATGATGATCTTGGACTTTCTCAAGGGTTGGGGGAATGAGCTACTTTCCATATTTTATGCACTCTAAACTATATAGTTTTTTCCCTTCACATTTTAGTTTTTCTTAAAGTAAGATGCATCCTGTAACTAATTATAGTTTAATATTAATTACAGATTTTTTCCCTATGTTTCATAAAATAATTGTGTATTTCCTGTCTGTGGAGTACTAAGTCATATGAAGTGCAATTACATCGAACACTTGTTATATGACAGAATCTGTGTGAGACTCTATCCTAGGCACTTTTGAGAAATCTCACTTAATCTTCATGATAGGTCCATTATATAGATGAAAAAATGGAGGCAGGAAAAGTGAAATAACTTATTTTTCACCCATTAAAAGCTGTGCAGTTCAAATGTTTAATGGGAAATTCCATATGTTGAATGTCTTCAGACGTTTGTGCTCACCTGCTTTTCTATACTTGAGCTATATTCTTTTTATGTCCCAAACATCTTTTTACCCCTACTTCAGGAAGTTATTACTATATATCCAAATTAATAGCTCATTGTAAATGTTTCCACTGCACCCTGTTCCTATTTCTAAGTTGTATTTCTAATTTTTGTTTCTTGTCCACCCCACTAGAGCATGCAAACTCTTGTACATTTAACACCTTGGAGAAGGTTTCTAATAGAGGAGACCTTCACAATATATTTGTCCACCAATTTAAAGTTATTGCAGCAATAGCTGGCTGTTCTGATTCCTCCATGACCTTTTAAAGTCTCTTCCACTTGATCTTTGAGTTTCTAAGTACTTTTTGTCTTTACTTCTATTTAGTTACTGTTTGAGGTTGTTGTTGAAATCCTGTTATACTTTTGCTCCTTTTTATTCTGGCAATTTCTCTGTAAAGACCTTGGGTATTTCCATACTTTCCTCAAAGCATTCCCTTTGTTGTTATATAATACACAAATTATTTTTCAAAGGCTTTATGGGATTTCTTGATAAAATCAAAGACATATTTAACTATATGACTTTATATTAGTTTTTGTTTGTTTGTTTGTTTGTTTGAGGCAGTGTCTCCCTTTTTAGTTCAGGCTGGCCCTGAACTAACTATGTAGCCCAGGCTGGCCTTGAACTTGTGGTGATCCTCCTGCCTCAGCATCCAGAGTACTGGGACTACAGGAATGAGACACCACACCCGGCTATATCAGGTTTTCTTTAAGATTCATTTTCAGCTTCTCAGAAGAAAAGTGAAGCATTTTGAAGCTATCAAAACATAGATAATTCTAAAGTAAGCTTACATTTCTAAAAGTAACATTTAAATAATAAGTTGTGGGTTTTTTTTCCAAAAACAATGAGAAAATGGAACCTGCAGCTAAAGATAAGAATTGGTTCCTTAGAAATAGAAGCTTATAAAAGATGATGAAAAAATAGGATGGTAGACTAGATGCTAAAAACATTTCAGGATGGCATTTAAGACTAAGTCAAACATTGATTCTCTGAGGACCTTGAATAAAAAATAGCTTCTGATTTTTGATTCTTATTTCAAAGCTCATTGACTCAGGGAAGAACCATCAAGAGTCACATGGAAAATTGCTTAATTATTGAGACAAGTGCAAAAGTTTTCATTTGTTCTAATTCTTAAAAGATTAGGACTCTGAAACATAATTCAGGAAACACAACATCTACATTTAAGTTTGATATTATATAGAGTAGTGAAAAGAATGAAGGAAAGAAAAGAGGGAAAAGGGCAAAAGAAACAGAACAAAAGAGAAAAGGAGAGAAAAAAAGAAAAGAAGTGAAAACAGCTGGATAGAGAAAGGCACAAAGAGGAGAGGAAAAGAAAAGTAGAAGAGAGGTCACAGAAGAGGTTCAGGTTGGGAGGTAACACTGCGGTGTGGGGAGAGGGCCTGGACAACTTGGCCTGGACAACTTGTCCTGACCTTTCGTCCATCGCACTGCTCCCAGGACACTTGAGATGATGGCTGTTTGGCATCTACTCTGAGATATTTCACTGCTCTTCATTCTTTAACTCAGAGATGCAGCACTGAATGGGATGTCATAATAATTCCAGAGGATAAATCACTCCAGGAACAGCAGTTTTTGTGGTGACAGCAATATTAATTTGAGGTCTGAATTATATCAAAGGGTTAGGTCTCTAATATGTACTAAAGGTTTCCTACTCTGACTTAAAGACTGGAGCTGGAATTTATTGGTCATTTGAAAAAGAAAGCATCTATAATATTCAATACATAGCTGAACAGGAAAGAAAGAAATGACAGTCCCATAGGCTGCTGCCAGTAAAATGCTGAGTGAACATTGACAGAATTAATGTGCCTTAAAAAGTGACCAGTACACCGTTCACCATTTTGAGGATCTGAGTTAAACAGGGGATATTTCAGTGGTGTGACTGCTGGTTGTGATACTTGAGCTATGTATGGTTCAGTGCTAAGTCACTGTCCTTGCAGATTATTCTAGCAGCACACTTTGGAGTGGCAGGCTGAATCTAACCCATCTATCATGCTGCTGGGACCAATTTTCCTTTCTGATTTCCTTGACCAACTTTGAGTTCCCTGAAGGAAACTGAAATTTGCTATTCTTGGGAGATTATTAGAGGTTGTTGATCAATCTGTTTATCCCTGAGATACCTGATTCATGTGCTTGAAATTTTCTATTTCCTGGACCTCACGATTTGGTAGAATACGATCAAAGTAACAAAGGTGAGGAGATATGTACAGTGATCACTTTTATTGCTCCTGTGTTTATTTTTATAAAGATTAGATAAATAAATATTCAAGGCATATGGTTTAGGTTCTATTTGAATACTTTTTGTGTATTGTTCTTCCACTAATCACGGTGTTGTGGAAATGGGCCTTTGGAGTTGCCTCCAGCAAGAAGGTGAGCCCAAGCAAAGCCTGTTCACAGGATCAGTGCTAGGAAGCAACAGAGTTATGCTCTTAAATGTTGACTATCTGAATTCAAGGCTGGTATTTTAAAGCAAGTTAACATTTTGCTTCTTTATTCATTAATATGCTTCTTTTGGAAACAGATTTTGATGCTCTGAAAAGGAAGTAATGCATGTGAAGGATTTAAAATAATGACTAGCACAATATGGACAATAGATATATAATCATTTTCCTTCCAATAATTGTGCCGATATTTTCCCATAGTATGGCTTACAGCTTATGAGTCCATTTCAATTTCATTCGTTCACAGTCCAATAAATTTTCTTATCTAATTTCCAACTCCACTGATTAAAGTTAGAAAATTAGACAGAAAACAGTTCTATTAAAGAAAAGAACAGTGGTAACTGTGAGAACTGATAACTAAAAGCCTGAAAACAATAAAATTTGGCACATGAACTGAAACATAAAACCAAACCACCATCTAGTTTAGGAGTAAAATAAAATCATTAATTCAATAAGCCTTGCAAAGCACATTGTCATAATGATTGTTGATAATGATAATGATCATCTAAAACATTTCTTGCCATGTGGTCTGCTGACAATGAATTAATTGTGCTTTTATATCTTGGAAAACATCTTTATCTTCATTTTTTGGAAGACATTTTTCACTGACAGAGAAATCTAGATAACATTTTTCAATATTTCAAAGATTTTTGCGTCACTGTCTTCTCATTTGCATCATTTCCAATGAGAGATATATTATCATCCTTATCTTTGTTCCTCTGTGTGAATATGACTTCTCATCCCACAGTCTCTGGGTGCTTTATTGATTTTATTTTTATCATTGTTTTGAATAGATTTGTTATGATGTATCTTGGTATAGTTTTTAATCATTGCTCTTCTGCTTGGGGTTTGTTGAGCTCCTGGGACCTGTGGGTTTAATTTTTTTTTTTCTGTTGTAATCCTTGGGGACTTTTATTACTGTATATTGGACTACCTGAAGTAGGCCGCAGCTCACTAACTCTCTGTTCCTTTTTAAAAATGATTACAGCATTTCTGTCTCTGCGATGTATCATGCATAGTTTCTATTGCCATTATTTCAAATTTACTAAGTTTTTCTTCTGCAGTGTCTGGGCTGCTGTTATTTCTATCATGAGTATATTGTGTTGTGCTGGGGATGGAACTCAGGGCCTCACTCCTGCTAAGTCAGTAAGGTACCACTGAGCTACATTCCTAGGCCATTGTGTATTGTTTTAGCTTCCTAAAACTTTAATTTTTATTCCAAAAAGCTAAATTTGGGCCTTTCTTGTTAGCTTTGCTGCCTTTACTTAAATTTTTGAATATGTAGTATACAGTCATAATAACTTTAAATGAGCTTTTCTGATAATTCCAACATCTATGTAAATTTTGGGTCAGTTTGAGCTGATTGATTTTTCTATTCATTATGAGATGTGTTTTCCTGCTTTTTTGCATGCTTGGTGATTTTTGGTTGAATGCCAGATATTATAAATTTTATCATTTAGGTTACTGTATAATTCTGCATTTTATTAAATATTCTTGATTTTGTCCTGGCACATAATTGCATTAGTTAGAAACAGTTTGTTTCTTCAGATCTTCCCTTTAAGTTTGTTAGATAAAAATACAATAACATTTAATCTAGGGCTAATTATTCCCTAATGCTGAGTCAAGATCCTTCTGAGTTCTCTGTTCAGTACTTTGTGAATACTGAGTTTTCTATTGTGGCTTATAGAAAAAGAGACAATTCTCATCTCCATGCAAGTGCTGGCTATTGTTTCCTCTAATTTATTTGGGTGATTCTTTTTTTCTTATCTCAAGTAATTTACTTATGCAAATGTTTTGATCAGCATTTTGCCAAATACTCTACGGGTATATGATGCTTCACCTTATGATTCAATTTGCCTGGTCCACAGGATGCCCAGACATTTGGCCAAACACTAATCTGGGAGAGTGTTTCTAGATAAAATTAACATTTGAGCTAGTGGGCCAATTAAAGCAGATTGTCCTTCTTAATGTGGATCAATTTATGAACTGAATAAAATAATAAGCCTAAGAGGGAACTCATCCTACCTGAGTGCTGGAGCTGGGACACTGGAGCTTTCTGGCCTTTGGACTTCAGCTGCTCATCTTGGATGTTAACTCTGGTAGATTTCAGATCACATAATAACTCTCCCAAGTCTCCAGCTTGCTGAGTGCATATATTTGGACTTTTCAGCCTCCATATTCACATGAGCCAATTCCTTATAATAATCCTACCATTCCCTCTCTCTCTCTCTCTCTCTCTCTCACACACACACACACACACACACTCACTCACACAACTTACTGGTTTTGTTTTTCTGGAAATCCCTATGTAACACAGGGGAGTTCTTTCTATGATTCTCCTCTCCAGACATTGCTGTCTTTCCAGACTTTCAGGTTCACATCTTACCTCACAGAGACTACTGAAATCTACCTACATTCCACCATTATTGCATCACACCCTGAAAAGTTTTCACACCAGTAAGCTGGGAAATTATAGGACTCACTGTTTATTATTTCTCAGGGCTTACTATACTTTCTTGACTGGTTCAGCAACTTAAAAATTATTTCATGTATTACTTGGGGTGGGGGAATGTAGTTGTTTCAGATGGAAGAGTAAACTTATTTCACCTTGGCTTGAATTATAAAATGTTTGATCAGTGCTCTAAATTACACTTAGGGGTCATAAAAAGTTTAAAATAGTTTCTATCAAATATAATATTTATAAAGTTAAGACTATGTATTTTAGAAAGGATTTTCATCTTTGTTCAAAGGAAAAATTAAAGTTAGCACACAGAATGTTAAAACCTCAAATACTAGGAAGTCTTTGGCCTATAGGATAATTTATTCTTAAAAGGTTTTTGAGATAGATATTGATTATGGTAATAACAGTTGTGTTATTGTGATATTGTAGGTGCTTTTTGGGGAAATGTATTCTTCTTAACAAATGGGAACCAGTGGAAGGGCTGTTGAGGGCAAGAAAGAATGGTCAGGAAAGGTATCAAGTGGGTGGGCTCAGCCTCCGTGCAGTCCATATGTACGCTCTGTTCTTCAAGCCCCAGCTCCTCAGCAGAAAACTCCTGGGAGACCCCTTGATAGGCATTATTCTCCTTGAAGCACACACATGGCCACTGTATAGCTCAGTATCTTTTATTTCTTAATTTTTAAAATGAAGCTTCCAGAATAACTGCAGTTGAGTCACACCTTGTGGCCTTTACAGTTTCTAGGCTGGTTTCATCTGTAGCTGTTATCTCAAAGCTTGGTCTGGCACAAGTGTATGTGAAACTAAAGTTAGGCTTACTTCTGATTATTTTCTGAATCCAGCCTATGGGGGATCCAGTATCCACATTCAGGTGGAGGAAGGAATAATGCTTTATGTCTTTAGGAGTCTTCTTTAAGTGTTATTAAGAAATATTTTTATAGGGTGTTTTGGGCCATTTTAAGTCACCACACCTGGGCCTGACTGTACCACAGTCAACTAAATATTGAATAATTCTGTTGTTTTTCATTATATAAAATACCAGATACGTCCTTATTTTTAGATGTAGTTTCAATCTCCTTGCATCTGGAATAATAGGTGAATGTGTTTGTACATAAATGAATTCATATAAAATTGTTATCTATTCATAGAGAACGTGTAATGTATGTTATGACACTGAGAGACTGAATTTGGAATCTTGTGGGGACATCTTCATTCTTCTCTGTAGTCCAGTTGTTGACAATTTATACATATGTATTATTTAAATAATGAACATTTATATATTATATAAATAATGAAAAATTATATATATAATAAAATACATCAATAAGGTATGGGCACACCAAATTACTGTGCTAACACTGCTAACGAACATTGAAAGAAACCTTAAATGTCACACTTAGATATTATGAAGCAGAAGAGCTAGGCACATAATTTTGAGAGCCCAATAAAAAATGAAAATATCACTTACATTGTTTGAAAATTATGATGTCATTTTAAGACAATGACAGTCAAACATTAAACTAAGTGCTTGCTCTATGTAGAGATCCTACATCCATGAAGCTGGCCCTGCTAAAAAGTAATAAAGTATGAGAGGTAAAACCCAATTTCAAGTGCAGAAACCAAAACAAACAATACTCTGTAGATTTCTAAATTTCCCTAATCTGAAGAATCTGTCTTCTAAAGGACAATAGGTTGATGTGAACAGAGCAATTACTCTATGTTATTCCATTGGTCTAGTTAACTTTGTTATACTAAATGCCATAATTATCCAAAGTTAGCAAGCAAAATCTTAGACTTTTAAAATAAAAGAGTAGGTGTGTATATTGTGATGTCAACTATTAGACTTCATATTTGGAGAAGGGTTAAAGTTATATTTCACTGTTGAGTAAATATACCACATATATATGAGCATCTTGAATTGTTTGTACTACTTTTATACTTCGATTTTTTGTACTATCAAATTGAACACAAAAACTTAAAGCCTTAAATATAAATTAAATGGTAGTTAAGACTATTAACTTGAACTTATGCAACTAAGCTCCTTGAAATAACCACATGAAAGATCTTTGCTTTGGGGAACTGAATAATTTTCTTGGGACAAATCATTTTTTTTGCTTTGGCTCAAAAAGAGTATTCATATTATGGATTAGTATGCCAAAAAATTTGATTTCAAATCTCTAAAAGCCAGAATAAGACTATCTACAAAACTGTCAAAATGCATTTTGGGCTGTCCCTCTCCTTCCATTTTTTCATTTCTTCAAAGGATTTAAATGCAATGGGATTATAAAAATCACATTAAAATTGAAAGACTGCAGGATAACTTTCACCTGGGGTGCTTGTTAAAAAATACAATTTCTGGTGTTTCATTCCAGATTCACTCAATGAGACTCTGCAGGGAGGCCCCTAGAATCTGCATTTTTTAATGCTTTCCAGATGTTTCTTATACATACTAAAGTTTGAAAACCACTACCTGGAGTTTTAACTGCCATTAAATAGAACTTTTAATGAATATAGCTATAATTCCTGAAATATTATTGATTAAGAGAATCTGCTTTTAATATACAAATACTAAAATATGTAGCTGTGTGGGCCAAAATATACAGATGTGTTGCACGGCTGAAAACAGAAGGAAAGTCAGACCTCTGACTGAGTCATATTTGAAGTTCAGCTGTGAAATTTGATGGCTTTTAGCTGAATCTAAATGCCAGGCAAAATGTGTGTCTGTGTTCTCCATCCTTCCTCTCTGACACCATTTCACTGTCTGGAGGCTAATCTTTATGGAGGAATGGCTTGTCACTGCTTCCTGGATTTCTGCACAAAGGCATGAGCTACAAAGTCGAGAGCTGCAGACTTCTCTGGCATTCCCATCTGAACAGTCAGTGACATGGAACTATATCGCAGAGCTTGCCACTGATTTAATTTGATCTTTCCAGGGAGGATTAAAAATATTGTTCTCATTCCAGTTCGAATGTTGCTGTTAAATTTTGATATATCAGAGGCGTTTTCATTTTCTCCATGCCAATGCTGGCCGGAATGGTAAGTGACAATGTTGCAGTATTTGCATTATTTTCCTTAGCTTGCACATTTTTCAACCTTGTCAGAGAAGTGCTTTGAAGGAAAACTCACAGAAAATATAAGGATGGTTCCTGGCCCATGCTCTAGAGCATTGCAGACAGAGCTGAAAAATGGGTAAAGGAAAGCATAAAGACTTCTTTCCTCCACCAGCCCCTTGCCTCAATGGGATGCCACTGCAGGTTGATGCCACTGCTTTGCCTCAAAGGTTTCTGTTAGAAAGTTTATGATAACATTCTGAGTGTTCACTTCACAGTCAGTGTGTCCCTGATTCAAAGATGATTTGATAATGATCACACTACACATAACAAAACACTTCAGTCTTATCAAAGTGCTTGCATCAATGTTGTCTCATTTCATTCTTGCCAGAATTTTTGTCTTCACGTTTTGCATAAGGAAAAAGAATCTCAGAAGCTAATAATTAGTGGAGCCAACATTGGTCCTGAAATTTTTCAACTCTGAAATAAAAAAGAAATCATATCACTGGGAAGAAAATCATAAACTCTACATCTGGTACCTGGAAAAATAGTGTGATCGGTTGGCATCTATTTTGCCACCTTCTATCAGTGTGGGCATGCGGCTGTTAGCTTCCTCTAGGTCGATGTTACCTCTTCCTCCTCTAGAGGCCCTGGGTGATGTTCTTCCAAAATTTAAAATGTGTTCTGGTTATGAGTGCTTGCTGCTGCGATGTAGCATTGATTGTTCTTATTTGTTATAGAATGCATGATTTGAATTTTAATAGCTATTTTGCTCCAAGATGCAAAATGACATGCTCTTAGAATTTAAAAAATGTTGATTGGCTGCTATTTTAACCTTCTCTATTTACAGCTCTGTGATCAGTAAGAGTTGCCAATAGACCTGAGTACTTTCTCTGTCCATAAGGATAAAATAATATTGATGGAGGATTTCATGGTTAGAACTTAACAGGCATTACAATTATACTACTTCCTGCATTTGACAAAAGGTAATCATAAGAGTTGAAAAAGGCCAACATTAATCTACTCTTATCATGAAGATTGTAATGAGTGTAGAAGAAGCTACAGAAGGAACCCATTCCCATCATGTTCTAAAGCTAAATTTTCTGTTTTCAACATGAATTGTATTGTCTGGGCTCTTTAATCAAGAATATTCTGTTTGAAGGAATTCCTTACTTAGAGAAAACATGAATTCCACTTTTGAGCACCTATTGTAGGAGGATGCGTTTGCTCATTCAGTTAAGCAAATTGAAATAAAAACACTATGCAGAGGCCTTAATGTAGCTCATACAAATGTGTTTATATGTATGATGATTGTTGCTAATTTGATATAATATTTGATTCCAAGAAGTGCTCATACTGCCCTTCTTTGATCACAGGATTTACAAAGGACCCAGACTACATACTGTCTGTCCAATTTACCTTGCTGCATTTGTCATAACACTTCTATGTGCTATGAAGAGTTTAGGAAACGTTGAAGCAAAAATGCTTCATTTCATTTTGGGCCCAGGGCCAAACCTGAAGATGGCCTTTTGCCTCATCCCTACTCCCTCTCTCCTCCATAGATTAGATAGTGAAACAGCCCCAGGAGACAGTTACATTATGTATCCTTGTTCCTTTTCTGCGCTGGTCTCATCAGGAGATAACTTTCAGCCTAGGCTACGTGAGCCATGTGGCACTAGTTACTCCGCCTTCCTATACTATAAATAAAGAGTGCACTGGACGCCAGGCGGCCATTAGTTCATCATGCTATGGTCCCACTTGGTCCCTGCTATAAGCTTAATCTTGGTCTTTCTTGTTATTTTCCAATTTTTCTTCATCTCCCACAGCTCTCCCTTGCTTTGGACCTTACACTGTGT